ACAGTGTTCTGTGGCGCCAGCTATTGTACGGCAGTGATACTAAACTTAACATGCTGGCATTGAATACATTTGGCTGTTAACTAGCGCTGTTAATAACATTTACATGTTTGCACATGCAAGCAGTGCAAAGCAGTTCGCATTTATAGAGTTGGTTCGAAATTTAAAATTTGTAAATGAAATGTGTTTTTTACAGCAAGCTGTATAGCTATTGATAGATCTGCATATACTCGCATTGATGTAAACTATTAATGGACTCCACATAGATTATAATACATTAATGTTAATATATTTGTACTGACCTACCTAATTTTCTGGCAGTTACGCAAAATCATATTGGAATTTTCCGTTTTGATTTTTTTTCCCATTAAAAAGAAAATGTGATTTGTTTTTGTTTTCGTATCTTTTGTTTTGCATTGTAATTCCAAAGAACTTTATTTAGTTTGAAAGCATTTTTTACTGTTTTTCTTTTTCGATTTGTTTTTTTTTCTCAGTTTTACGTTATAATATTAGTAAGTCTAATTATTTTGTTTTGTTTAGTTAATACAATGGGGTTAGTGTGTATTATGGTATCAATGTTAAGTATTTATGTTTTATGTAATTCTTGAAAAGTATTTTTTTTTTGCTCGCTTTGAATATAATTTACAAGTTGTATCAATTTAGTTAGTGTTAAACTGGGTGTGTGTGTGTGAATAGGTATACATATTATAATTACATATATACAGTTATCGATCAGTTTATCGATCGCGTGCAAATTGTAGTGAGAGCATCTAATTGAAATGGATTTTTCATATATATTTTTAGCTTTTCAAAATGTGCTACGATTTTCGGTTTTTCTTTTGTTTAATATATTTTCACATATACATACACACTTATGGAGTATATAGGATTTTCCTGTTCTTTTTACAACATTTATCGAATAATGAATATATATTTATATATATATTGTTTATGGCTTGTTAACTACTCGTACATTGGTTTGTGTTCTACATCAAATTTATCTGAGAATTTTGGTAGGAAGGGAAGCGGGTGTGGGCAGGGGTAAGGGTAGGGGGTTGTGGCCAATATAATATTCGTGTTGGGTGTGTGTGTGTTTTGAGTGCTTTATACATGTTGGTATCATTGGGGAGTGGCCATGCATTGGAGGGAGGCATGCATACGCCGGCTTACATCTGACATCTACTCGAGTTGGTATCATCAATGAGAAGCAATCACAAAGTTTACTATATATATTCAGATAGATATATGTTATATACGCTTTATATAATTATTGTATTTGTATTTGTATTTGTATTTACACGATTTCTCGCTGGTTGATCCTACGTAGGACCCGCTACAAGTAGGCTCCACTAGTGGGCTAAGCAACTACGAGTACACTCACAATCAGAATTCGAATGGGGTTTGCGATCTCTACATTAAGCGTGTTCTCTACTCACATTTACATCAAAAACTTTCGAATTTTATCGTTACTGATTTATTATTTTTGTTTCTTGTTTCTGGTTTCGTTCTGGGGTTAAAAAACTGTGTCACAATTTCTACAAACAGCCTTTTGTTAAACATTTATGTATTTTCGTATGCAATATTTGTGTTAATATATTTTCTTTTTGTTTTTGTTTTCATTGAATTACGAATCTTGTTTATAGTTTTCTTTCTTTTTTTATAACCTGAGCGCAATTTTCTTTTCTGTTAAGAAAACGTTTTTTTCTTTGTTTTGCCAAAAATTTGTCTCTTTCTTCTGGCACAAATTTCATTTTGTTTATAAATTGTAGTTATATTTTACCAATAATTTGCATTTGTTTTATAAAATTTATGCGCAGCCGTTCAAGCTGCCTCAAAAATGCTTCTTCAATTCAGTTTTTCGCTTGCCAAAAACTGAAGATTTTTTACCTGTAATACTTGAATAACTGTTGTCTATAGAGAGAGCGAGCGGGAGTTTCAGTTGATCTGCAAATATTGTCCATATATACACACATGCCTATACATATTTATATATATAGCATGCATCGCATATAGTATATATTCGTGGAGAGAATTGCATATATGTATATTTTATAGCTATAAATTCTAATTGGAAATGCATTCGGTTTTACAGGTGGCGACGAAAAGGTGAAGGAAAAAGAAAAACTGGGAAATTGATATGGGAAATGAAAAAGAAAACAAAAAGTTAGCTTCGGTTTTTTTCTTTTTTTATACAAACAGTTTTACACGATTTTTATTTCACTCTCGGCAGCCAACGTCAACTCGTCATATTAGATTAGGTAGTTCATACGTAGGCTCTACTGTATAATTAGCACATATATATTTATATTTATATTCATATTCATATTCATATTCATATTCATATTCATATCCATATTCATATTGTATTTCTATGTAGGTCGAATACTCAGCTCTTAGTTTGCTTCTGCTTTTACTTAGCTTAACTAACAATTAGACATTGTTGAAACTTATTGAAACATAAGCGCCACGAATCCATAGACAAAGTTTATCATAATTATTGTATTGTTTATATTTATATATATATATATATATGTAGTGAAGGTTGTGCAAAAAAAATGTACATGTATACGATTCACTATATAGTTATATATGCATAGATATAGATATATATATCTCTATATATTTGTTGTTTCTTGAACTAAAAGAAATGAAAACTAGTTTCGGCTTATGCTTTAGGTTGGATTACATATATTAATGTATAAGTATTGGTGGGGTGTTAATGTTATGTACACGGTGCTTACATCAAGTCAAACGAATTACATACATACATATATATAGTGTATGCATGTGTGTGTGTGTGTGTGTTTGTCAAATATCCTTAGCTGCTAAAGTAGTTTATAAATTGTTTTGCATTGCATTCGTTTGCGTTTACAATAAGAAAACTAAAAGTATATAAATGTGTGTGTGTGTGCCTTATTCGAGTATGTGTGTGTGTGTGACCGAAAGACTGTTGTCTCCATATATATATAGATGTGTGTTTGTGTGTGTGGATATAAGAAAAAACTGTTTATTTATAAACAAAAGTTTTTTGTGAAAAATTGAAAACAGGAAAAATCGTCGTTATTAAGCTACATGAACAACATATATATATATATATCGATAAAAATATATATATATATGGTTCTACAGTTACTGCAAACGACTTTCCGATTTTCGCTTTTCATCAAGTTTTTCGTTTCGTTTTCCTTTTTGTTTTCTTTTGCTATGAGATCTCCGTGAAAGTTTGAATTCATATTTCGTTTCCTTCATTTTATATCGTCTTTAAGCGTACGCTAAATTAGTTATATATATGTATATATATATGGGTATATATGTGTATATATATATACATAATTAAAAACTACATACATAAGAAAGCAGCACAGTTTAGAGTCGAAGAAATTGGTTTTTGTTTACGATATAGAAATTGGCTTCTAGTTGAGCGCCTACAAATTTCGAGAAACTTTACGATTTATGTCGAAAAGACTTTAAAAATTACGAATACAAATTCACATACATATAATGAATACATATACATATATATATATTCATATTACTTTTGTTTTTTTTTCATATAGTTTGCTACATTTAAATACATAATTCAAGCATTAAAAATGGATTTTCGCTACGTTTTTTTTTCAATTTTCCTGACTTTCTTTTCTTTTCTATGTTTATTGCATATTGGCGCGCTTGTCAACCATCTCTTTTGCAAGGAAATGAAAGAACTCAGTCTTAAACATATACATATATCAGAGTTGGGTGGAACTAGAGCTGCTATAGCATGGAGCTGCTGCTTGAAGATGTTGTGGGCGGTCAGGGGGGGTTGGGGTTGGGGTTCAATTAAACTATATTAGAGTTAAACTAATTAGGATTTAAGAACTAACTTTGAAATGGCCAGGCGTTCGGCAGACAGCGAGCAAGGCAGCGCGAGTGCACTTTAGCGAGTGCTGACTGTGCGCGAAACGCCTGTGCGCATTCACTGGGGGGCAGTGTGTCGTCCACTTGTTGGTTTTGCTTCTGCTAACGTTGCAACGTGTCTGAGTGCGAACTAAACGAGCTTGCCACAAGCAAAAGGCAAAACAATTTGAATAAAAGTAGTACAAAAATTAAGTGTAAAATTTAAGTCTAACAACTAATGTGAATACATGGGCGTAAATTGTCATAAACTAGGCATTAGGCATTAGATTAATACAACTTAAATTTGTTTAATTGTTTAATTGCATAATTGTTTGCGATTTATGCAGTTTAATCAGTCCACGGTTAAAAATATTTCAATGTGTTTCGAAAGTTTTTCGTATTTTCGCTACATAAACATATATGTATATATATATATATATATATGTGATACACAGATACAGTTATACATATACAAACACACATTCAATATATGTATATATATATATATGTGCAGAGTTTCACACATATATATATTTATATATATAGATATATTTATATATATGTGTGTCTTCTAAGAGCTTTCTCTATAGAGATTTTTACTACATATAGTTAGAAACCAGTTTCAAAATTGAAGCGCAAATATATGAAAATAAATTGTGTGTTTTTTAATTAGTTTTAGAAAATATTAATGTTTCATTCATTTGTTTTAGCTGCTACACATATACATATATATATATATAGAGAGAGTTCTATAGTTTTATCTAGTTATACACAGAAAAAAATAAACAAAGTGTGTGTGTGTGAGGTAAATTTGGCAAACAAATTTCTTGTATGTGTGTGTAATATATTTAATTTTTAGTATATATATATATATATATCTTTTGTGTTTTGCACTAATTGCTAATTTAATTTACATTTATTTTGTGTTTTTGTTTTTAAAGCGCTTAAAATAAAAAACATTTTGCAATTTCTTTTATAAGACCCAAAAATTTATGTTTTTTTATATTGAATTTTTTAGTTTTTTCGTCGTTCTTTTGTCTACCAATTTTGTCAAGCGCAACAAATTGCTGTAATATGTTGCTTATATTTGTGTTTTTCTTTGTTTTGTTTATAATAATTTTGTTTGTTTTCTCGAATTTGTTGTGTTCTTTGTTTGTGCCGCAAACAATTTCATTTGTTGTTTGCTTTACTTTACTTTTACTCTGCTTGTTTTTTAGACTAGTTTCAGTTGAGTTACGTTACATTTTGTTTGTTGTTTGTTTGTTTGTTGTTTTAGTTTCGGTGGTGGAATGCTTTAACGTTTAAACAGACAGCGCTGAGCAAAACTGTTGTTGGCGCTTTAAAATTTAATCGTTGTTATCCCGAAGCGGGCCTGTTGCGGAGCTGCAACTCGCTTGCTCCTTGTCCATATGTGATCTAGCCAGAAATATATATATTCATATATAAATCTAGGCTATTGTTGTTCAAGTTGTTGTTGTTGTTGTTTGCTGAGTGTTGCTTTTGATATTTTAGGCAGCAATCGCCTCATTTTGCCGTCATTCCCATTGATGTGGCGAAGGCGGCAGCTCCGAAGGATGTGCCACAGTTGAGCTAATTTTTATGGGGTAAAAAATTATAGAAAATAAACCAAAATTAGTCAAGTCTAATTGGGCAAAGTCGTCGTCGTTGAAATACATTTAGATAGAGCGCAGAGCACATGCAACAAACTACTAAAAACTAATGAATACAACACAAAAAATAAATACATAAAATATAATAAAATATTAAAGCCAGAGTTAAGCCCGCAGCAGAAGCACAAAAAACAACAGAAAGCAAAAAACTATTAATTATAAATAAATGAAGTAAATGAAGGAAAAACATATAATAGAAACTACATTTAAATAGATTTCGAGTTACAACAAACAAAACAAAAGAAAATAAAATTAAATTAAGTAAAATAAATAATTAATAATTAATTATTAATATAATATATTTATAGAATTTAATGTTCATTATTTTATTATTATTTTTTTGAAGACTTGAAGTGAAAGTTGTTCAAGCGGTATTAGTCTACTTTTGTTTTGACCATTGTCACTGCTGCTCAACTGCACTGATACATACATATACATATATAGACATATATGGCATATATGTATATATATATATTTCTAATTTTTCAATATGCATTTTGCTGTTTGTTGTTGCTGGCAGTGTATTAAATGTAGTTGCAAATGTTTTCTTGGCCAAATTCATGGTACAGAGGGGCGGGGGCGGTGGCGGGTTCGGGTCTAGTATGGGCTGTGATGTAGTAGTCTGTCATATGGCTAATGGCTAATTGCTGATGATTCGGTTACAGAAAGTAAGGAAAGGAAAAGATAGTTTAGGCAGGCCGAATCTGGAAAACTCTTGCAGTTAAATATAATTTAATATTATCAAATTAATTATGATTTAACGTATGTCAAAGTTACAGTTAGTTTTTTAAGCTAAATCATGTAGACTTTTAACTAAAAGTTAGTATTTAGGTATGAAAATCTGACAATATATCTATGGCAGCTATATGACATAGTAATTTGAATGATCCTAGAGCATATGCCTGCTATAAGGCTGGGAAGCAGCCGTACAAAGTTTCAGCTGAAAAGCTTCACTCAAAGCTGAGTTCACATAGTTATAAACCGAAGGTAGAGAGAAAGGACTTGGCTTATATAACAGTTGTTATTGAGAAGATATAAAAAGCAACTGTACAAAGTTTCGGTTAAAAAACTTCACAGAAAGCTGAGTTCAGATAGTTATAAAGAGTATGTAGAGAGAAAAGATTTCGCTTCTATAACTGTTTTCATTTTAAAGTTATATAAAGTAGCTGTAACAAGTTTCAGCTGAAAAGCTTCATAAAAAGCCTAGTTCTGATAGTTATAAAAAGAAGAAAATGAGAAGAGACTTGGGAAATACGAAAAAGAAACATTTGCTGTTACTTAAAAGAGTTTTCTCTAGGAACTTATATATGTTGTATAAGGTTCTATTCAAGTTATAACTGCAAGAATATTCTAGTTCTTTTTAAAGAGAAAAAATGAAAATTTACATTTATTTTATAATGGGCGTGTCTCTGTGTATATGTGTGTGGGTGTGAATGTGTGCACATTTTATGATTTAAAATTGATTAAGAATTTGATATATATTTATGCGAATATATATATTTATATATATATATGGTTTATATGGTATATGAGTTGCAGAAAGGTGAACATAAATTGGCTATGGGTAGAGAGATATATGAATATATATTATATATGTGGGTTTAAGATTACATTTAATGCTTTGCAGGGTACTTTGCTCGAAATGTCTATGAAAAGTGGTGCGTATTTTTCTTGTATTTTTTTAGTATTCAAAAATTTTGATTTCTTTTGAGCCAATTCCACTTTTTTGTTTTTGGTAAATTTTGTTTCAATTTGGTTTTTTTTTTTTTTGCCGACCAATTTTTGTATTTGACATTTGAAGAGAGTTAGAAATTTGCCAGTTTTGGTATTTTTTGATTGTTGGTATTTTTTTTCTTTCGTGGTAAATAACATTTATGTACACAAATAACCCATTTAATAATAAATGTAAGGAAACAAAAGAAATTATAATGAGTTAAGTCATATTGCACAACTTAAGAGTATTATAAGAGGTTTTTATACACATTTGCATTTAACAAACAGAAAAAAGAAGAAGATATGTATTATATAAAAAAGAAAGAGGAGAATATACATATATATATATATGGTGAACATAGGTATTAAATCATATTTATATAAATTATAGAAAAAAAATTATAAATGATATTTTTTTTTGTTTTTTTTTTAGCAAATGTATTAGAGCAATAAATGTAGTTGCTTGATCAACAGACCTAAAAGATTCAAGAGTTGCTGCTGCCGAGGCACCCACAATAGTGTCGTATCGATATCGATATCGATATGCGATATATATCGATGAAATGCGATTCTTGGCATATCTTTCGCTCGCTTTCTCGCCCGCTTTCTTGATCTTGCTTGATTTATCTTTATCTGTATTTTGCTTTCTTTTCTTTCTTTCTTTCTCTGGCGGCTTTGGCTAGCTTCTCTTCTTTTCTTTTCTTTTCTTTTCTGTTTTGTGACCTTCTGCTTGGATCTGTTTTCTGTGTTTCTTGACTTGATTGGTTAATATTGGTATATCGGTACGCGCCTAGTATATATACTTGGTCTTTGTCTTGGTATTTGGCCTGTGCAGCGGCGGCGGCGGCAGCGGCGGCAGCAGCAGCAGCGGCAGCAGCAGCGGCAAGCGACAGGAGCAGCAGTGCAAGTTGTGGTAGTAGTGGTAGTAGTAGTAGATATTCTCATTCTCATTGGCTTAACAACGCAAATATATAAATTAAATTTGATAGAATTTATTCAATATTAATGTATATCGATATCGATATATGTATATAAACGATAGAAAAAAAGAGAGAAAACAAAAAAATAAAATTATTTTAAAATATATATTATATTATATATAAAGATAGATAAAGAGAGAGAGAGAGGGAGTTAGAGAGAGAGAGAGAGAGAGAGACGATTGTGGACTTAAAGCATTTGACAAAGTTAAACAAAGAGAACGTTTTCTTTTAGAAAAAGAAAGACAGATAGAGAGAGAGAGAGAGACAACAATGTGCGCGAAAGAGAGAGAATTTTACTTATCAACTGAAAAGCAAATTACGAATTCATTTTTTTTTGGAACAACAACAAAAAGTTAGAGAGAGACAGATAGAGAGAAGGAGAGAGAGAGAGAGATAGTTTTGAAAGAGTGGGACGAGTGGGTGGGGAATTGTACGCAACGTGCAGCGTGTTGTATGGCTGTGGTGCAACTCACCTGGCAAAGCTCTTGAAGGCCGCACTCTGCGGATTAATGCAGAGCGGCACACGGCCCGTCTGCAGCTGCTCGGCAATGAATTTGTGCATTTCCTCTGCAAAAAACACGAGTTGGAAATTTCTTCATTTATAAAAAGTTTCCGCCAACTTTGCGTTCAGTTTGCGCGACTTACCCTTCACCTGCTGCACGGAGGTGAGCTTTGCGCTCCCATAAATCATCGAAGGGCTGCCCGGCGGAGGGCTCAAAGTCCGCCGTATACTGACGCATTCCAGCTGAGGTAGTGAAACAGCATTTGCACATGCACGAATGATAGCGCAGACGACCCTCATCCAGATACGGATGCGCCAGAGCATCTGTCACCGAAATGCGCTTGTCCTAAGGAGCGGGAAGAGCAGAGAGTGGCGAGTGTTATAGTTGTTGCAGAGGAAAAGGAATGAGTGTCGCTTAAGCCAGTCTGTCTTACCGGATCAAAGACTAGCATCTGGCAGAGCAGATGCACCGCCTCGTGCGTGGCATGTGAGCTGAGCGTGTAGAGCACCGAGAACGACGGCGGCTTGGGCGCCCGCCTCAGCATGTGTGTGCGTGCGCCCTCGCACGCATGACGCATATCCTCCATGGTGGGCGTGCCCAGCAGCTCGGTAATCAGCTCCAACTGCTGCACCGGATTCTGCGCCTGGAACAGTATGCGCCGGCCCAGCAGCTCGCCAAAGATGCAGCCCACCGACCAGACGTCCACGGCCGACGAGTAGTGACGAGCGCCCATGAGTATTTCGGGTGCTCGATAGTACTGTGTGACCACCTCCTGGGTCATGTGCTTGGCCTGGTCGGGCTCCTCGACGCGTGCCAGCCCGAAGTCGCATATCTTGAGCACACAATTCGAGTTGACCAACAGATTGCCCGGCTTGATATCGCGATGCAGTATCCTGGCCGAGTGCAAATACTTGAGTCCGCGCAGTATCTGATAGAGGAACACTTTGATGTGGTCCGCCGATAGATGCTGTGGCGACACGATGATCTTGTGCAGATCCGATTGCAGCAGTTCAGTTATCACATAGCTAGAGTTAGGGAGCGCGTTAAGGAAATAACCAAGTGCCACATGCCATGCGCCATGTGCCTGCCGAGTGTTGCTTGTCGCCCCCCCTTTTAGCCCAGTTTCGAAAAGTTTTGGGACTTGTTTGTTAGCTTTAAACTTTTTCAATTAAGTAGTTGCACGCTTCGGCTCTGCCCACAACTTTTACGCGCTGAAAATAGATATTCACGTTGGCCCAAATCAAAAACAAAAAAAAAAACGAAACGAAAATCTGTGACCCCAAAGGATGCGGTTTTTGAAGCTTTTTGGATTTGCCAAATTGTTAAGTTACTTAGGTGGGCGAGAGAGTGTGTGTGGGTGTGTGTGTATAGGTGTGTTTACTTTGCAAATATGTCAAATCTGCTCATAGCTAAATCCTCTGCTTGATTACTATTTCAACTTGTTTCTTTACACAAATGGCTAAGACAATCTTTGCTGTTGGCCAACTTATTACAGTTAGCAATTAGCTTTGTTAGCACTTGCTTAGCTAATAACAAACCAGACTTGCTTTAAGTATATTTAAGTATATATCAATGCAATAGCCTCTTCTGGCATAGTCTAGTTGAGCCTCTCTAAGGCATCTCTAGCCTTCAAACAGCTACCCCAAGCTCAGCTTAGTTTATTGCACACTTTAACAGCTTCCTTTAACTGAGTTGCATGTCTATGATTTAGCAATCCATTTCGTACTACTTCGCAGCTTCTATACAATTTATTGGCTGCTTCTCTGATTGTCTCTGCTTGGCTCTTAGATTGAGCATCAGCTCATTTGCTACTCAACTCACGTGTGGCTCTCAGATTCCTTAACATTTTAACTACCTACAATGGTAGCTACATAGCTTGGCATGCATATAAGTCGGCTTAAGCATGCTGCTAGCTTCGATTCAGCTTAGATTGCTTTGCTCTTTGGCAGTTTTTCTTGTAATCAATCTTTGCTCCTCTTCATTTGTAAAACATTTGCCTATTTTTCAGCTGCTATTACATACTTTGTATGTCTTGTCTATGATTTTTAGCTTTAGCTATTCATCTGCTCAATTCGTATGCTACATTTGAAGCACTTTCATTGAATTCTCTGCCTATAATTCTCGAGCTTTCAACTACACTCAACGATTTGTCTCATTTTACTCAAGTCTAACTCAAACTGAGTTCATTTTTCAATAATTCAATTCACTCTTCTCTTTCATATGCTACTCTCCATACACTACTTTTTATATACTACTCTTCAGATACTCCTCTTCATATATTCCTCTGTATACTTTACTCTTTATCTACTCCTCTTTATATACTGCTCTTCATACACGTCTCTTTATACACTACTCTTTATACACCACTCTTCATATACTCCCTTTCATATACTCCTCTTCATATACTCCTGTGTATATACTACTCTTGATCTACTCCTCTGTATATACTACTCTTGATCTACTCCTCTTCATATACTACTTTTCATTCATGTCTCTTTATACCCATAGTCTTCATATACTTCCTTTCATAGACTCCTCTTCATATACTCTTGTGTATACACTACTCTTCATATACTCCTTTTTATATACTCCCTTTCATATATTCCTCTTCATATACTCCTCTGTATATACTACTCGTTATCTACTCCTCTTTATATACTCCCCGTCATATACCACTCTTCACACACTCCTCCTCACATGCTACTAAATTATGCCCCAAACTCCGAGCTACAGCTCAAAGTTCTCTCAGCTCAAACACTTAGCTGAAGTCTGCCTAAACCAAATTCAATTCAATTGCAATTACTATGAAAGGCAATTTAAAACCATTAAAAATGACTTAATTTTAAGTGCACAATGCGGTTTATAGTTTGTGTTGTTGTAAAAAGGATACATTTCCTGAAAGAAGTCCAAATGTGGTGGCTGTAAAATGTCCAAAGCTGACAGCACCTGCAAAGAGAAACGGAAAAGAGAGAGGAGAAATGTTATAGGTGTGTTTCGTTAATAAATCTCGACACGCATGCAACACAATGTTGTTAATATAGACGAGTGTGTTTATTGGTTGTGGCATTAGCCACATAAATCTTAAAACAATGCTGCAGCATTACACCTACACAACGAAGGCGCAATGACGCCCATTCGAGCGGCTGCCTGCCTGGCTGGATCTTGTGGTTAAGATCATAAATTATGCACTCCAATAAAATATAAATAAAATCAAAAGCTCGCAGCTAGCAGCGCATCAAATGCGCCATTTAGTTGCATGTTAAGTGTCGCTGCCAGGCACTAAAATGCCACAAAGTTCAGCTGCAGCAGCAGCAACTTGCAACAACGCTGACCCGTTGATGATTGTTTAGCGGCAGATACAAGACACGCCACTGTCTGTGGCAGTCGCTTCGGGGAGTTCTGTCTGTCTGTTCGTCTGTCTGCAGCAAAGGCAACGACTCTATAAAAAAAAGAGCCAAACCAGCAGAAAATAATAAATAAAAAACGGGACGTACCGGCAAGAACTTGATGGACAGCAGCACAACGAAGAGCAACAGCAACCGAGTTGGACAAGCGTCGACAGAGCCAAAGCCCTGAGCTGGAGCTCTACCTTTGTCTGCAAGCCTGAGCTGCAGACAAGCGCTGATTTATTTGCTTGCGGTCAAAATGATGAAGGAACTTGCCACAAAACCCCAAATGGCAATCTAACAGGCTGTGGCAGGCAGAGCTTGCATGTGTTGCAACAATGCCATGTGTGTGTGTGTGTGTGTGCGACACATGCGTGGCTGAAACAAAGCTTGAAAATCAATTTTCAATATCATTCAAGCAGCTCAAATCGCTCGCATTTCAAGAAAATGCCCAAAAAAAAAAACAACCAAAATGCGAATTGTTGCGTGTGGCAACAACAACAACAACAACAAGCGCAAAAACAATCCATATGTGTGCACATATTTGTTGCACAACTCACACACATTGTTGCTGCTGTTGAGCTCTCTTCCCCAGCTGCCTGGATCTGTCTGTTGGCCACAAAATTGTTGCAAAGTGCTTCAACAAACACACAACGCAACACAGCAGAGCACAAAAAGTGCCGCCGCGTTGCTAAGCCGTCGACTTCGACGTGCTTTTTTTTTTAAGTGGCAACAATTTTTAGCCTTGTTGTTGTTGTGTTCATTTACGAAGCTGAAGCTGCCGCTGCCACTGGGTCTGGGTCTTTCGAGGGTTTCGCTGCGTCGTCGTCTTGGACTTTGGCTTTGTTTTTGGCTCGCTTAAGTTCGCTTGTAATATTTCTCGCGCTGCTTGCAACTTATAAACTGCATTTGTTGCGCTTGCGGTTTCACAAGCAGCAGCAGCAGCAGCAAAAGAACAGCTTAGGGCTAAACATAAAGGTAGCTGCACAAAACGAAGCATAAAAACTTTGACTTACAAATTTACTCCAAATTGTTGCAGAAATTTAAGACAGTGTTATAGAGGGACTACCTTTAATGCTGATATATATTTATATATATGCATATATATCACAAATCTCAGCTCTACACTCTTTACAAAAAACTTGCCACTCTAACTGCAGTTAGCCCCCTTTTTTGGGCAGTGCACAATGGCAGCCCTGAGCGCTTTGCTTTAGTCGCCTTCCGCTCGATGCGCACATAATTTTTTGCAAGCTGAATGTTTTTGTTGCATGCAGCTACTACCTACCGACACTGCACTCTTGCCCTCACACGTGCAGCGCCGCGTTGCAGCTAATTAACATCTGCGCTGTGGCAATCAGCAACCAAATTTATGCAGCTCATATTGGCCGTCATTTTTGTGTCTTAGTCTCGCTTCTCGCTTCTGTCCTTGAGGCGCAGCAGCGCTGGGCCAGAGATGCCAAAATCTAAAGAGAACAATCATAAAGGAGCGAATAAGTGTGCTGGGTATGCACGACTAGCAGATGCCTGACAGCAAGTTGTTGTTGGAAGTACTCAAAGTTTTTTGCTGGCTTAGGGATTCTTGTTTTAAGCTTTTTTGATTAAATTTTAAATTTAATTTTGTTTTCATATTTAAGATTAATTTTATATTCTAATTTTAGACAAATTTATTGTGAATTTTGTTACATTTTTATCAAAATTCTTATGTAGAATTTGAATTTGCTTGGAACTGCCATAAGTGGGACAAATTGATAGGATTTTTGAGTTTGGGCTCATTTTCTGTTAATATTTTTGCTATAGATTCATTCTACAGACAACATTTATATTATTTTGAAATACTTTTAAATTCTTGCTCATTTTTAACAGCTTAACGTTTTTAATCTTATTTATTTTCATAAAAACTTTCAGTTTTACTAACTTTATAAGTACTTAAGTAGTTTCAAGTTAATTGAACAGAAATTAGAGCAAATATTCAGTTAGTCAAAGTGATGCACAAATCAAATTGCTTTACATTTATAAAACTGAATAGTTTTGCATCTCAAAACGTGCTCCATTAAGTCCGTTCTGCCTTTACTTTAAATTTCCAAAGCTAAAATGAAACTATTTGTTTCTGATTTATTTACAAAATAACGCTCTCTAGCTGAAGACTTAATTTAAAGGCGATCTTAAATAACATTATATCCTCTTTGAAGCACTCTCGATGCAGCTTCAGTTCGTACAGAGGGCAAACAGTTGCTCTAAAGCTAAACTAGGCGTGTAATAATAATAAACACAAATAGCAGCAGCAGCAGCAGCAACAACAACAACATTTAACGAGCTGTGCAAACAACTTAGACAACAACTTTGCAAGTTGCAAGTTGCAAGTGGCAACAGCTGTGGCAGCACATTTCAAACAGAGACAAAGCGAAATGGAGAAGTAGAAAAAAAGAGAGACTTGAAGTATGTTAAAGCTAACATAATCAAGAAGAGCATCTCTTCTTCTTCTTTCTTCTGCCACTTCTGCTTCTCGTTTGGCCCCTTTTTAAACGATTTCAAGTGAATTTTTTTCAAGTCGCGTCTCTAAACAAAAGCAAAAGTGTTTTTTCCTAGCGACATTTTCATTCCAAGCTAAAATTCTAGCTAAATAATTGCTGCAGCAGCTGCTGACAACATTTCCAGTTGTTGTTATTGTTGTTGTCGACTAATTAAAACGCCACAGATTTTTGTAAAACAATTTTATCAGCTGCTGTTTGAGCTTGTTTCAACCTTGGGCAAATGAGCAAATGTTTTTGAACTAGGTTGAATCTGCTCTGAAGCTTTCCAGCTAAAAAGAGCTAGCGTGGGATTCTGAATACTCTATATACATATATATATATATACATATATATATATATATATATAAAATTATCTGGCAACTTGAATTGTTGGAAATGAAATTGACATTTCAATTGCAATTTGTGTAGCGCCTCGAAATGATAGCAACAAAAAATTTGCATGCAATTGATGCCAGGCATCAAAAACTTGAGGAAAACAAACTCAATCATTTAGAGCAGCTGCAAGGGGCGCGAGGGGCGTGGCACACACACACACACTTCATCGTCGTCGTCGGCTTTGGCTGCTGCATGTGAGAAATGCTTTTGAAATTTGCGCCACGTACGTTGCAAAATCTTTTATTGAAAATCGCAATTGAAATAAGCAGCAACAGCAACAGTGCATAATGGGGCAAACATTTTGCAGCGATTTGTTCAAATGTATGCCGCACACACACACACATAACGCAAACACACACACACACACACCACATTTGGTATTCTGCGCCATATAATGCCAAAGCAATTGAGACGATTGCCAGTGCCTGCGCTGTCACTCAAAGAGCTGTTGCTGTGTGTGTTGCCAGAGTTGGCAATTGACAGGAAGCAAACAGAACTGTCTGCCAGGACTTACACAGCCAAGGAAACGAAGCAACTTCTATAGAACAACGAAAAGCGCAAATGCAGAAATATCTATAAAGGAAAACCATTAAAAGTACAACAAATTGTGGCACAAACTAAGCTCAGCATAGCTTTAATAACTCTAAATGAATTTTCATTAATTGTGAAATTATATAGCAGATTTCAAGCTAAAACTCTTTGGGAATTCTAAGTGAAGCCAGAATTAGCTTTGACAAGTATTTCATATTGATTAACTTAAGTTAAATCAAGGCTGACAACTTAGAAGCCAATAAAATAAAAGGCACAAGTTCGAGTCACAAATTGCTGTTAGATTTTAGTTTAGCTCCAGTTTAAGCCACATCTAATGCCATATGCAAATATAAGTCTCAACAACAATCTGCATTTATTGAGCCCACATCTCAGATGGCTTTAACAGACGGCCTCACAGCCAGCTGTGCTCAGCTATTGAATATAACGTCTCGAGCTTCAGGTTGATTGCACTTGCTTAGCTATGCGATGCGTCGCAACGTTGCATGTAGGAAATGAATATGGAATTGCAACAGGAACAAACAATAGACAACAACAACAACACGAGACGCGCCTCTTTCATAGCTTTCTTCTTCTTTGCTTCTTTTTCATAAAGCACTTTGCATATTAATACAACATTTGCATAGGTGTTGCCAGGTGTTGACATGTGTGGGCAGAGCGTGCCTCATTAGGGCAACTCTGCCTCGATTGGCGTTGCATCACTTCTGGACAAATTAATAATAATAAATTAATAATAATAAACTTTGCCTCGCTCTGCACCCACGCGCAATTTATTTGCGCCTAATGGAGCCGCCCAGTGTTGGAAAACGCTCAGAGTGTTAGTTGACATTTGCAGCCAAGGCTACGATCATGTGTGGCAAATGAGTTTCGTCTGAAAGGAAGTTGAAGTTGAGTCTAGACAAACTTCAATTTGACATTTTAGCCATGGCAAATGTCAGTCAAAGTTGATTGAATTATGAAACTGAACTGAATGAATACCTTGAAAGTATCTATAATAATATATACACTTTCAGGTTGATAAGTCTTCTTCATAAATTGCTTGCCTTGAGTAGCTAAGGAGTTGATGCTGGCTTTAGCTGTGGAAACTTTATAAACTGTAGAAGCT